CAATTGTTTTCCATTTATCATCATCGAACATTATGCCAAGGTCTTTCTGCCAGATCATTTTTAACTGGTTGGAATCATCACTGAGGAGAGAGTTAATGATTCTATAGAACTGCGAGGCTTTTTGTTTACTAGTTGGAAGTTTCATATACTCAGTTACTGTGTTGTCTTCAATATTACATGGCTGCGAGGTAATACAACTTCTCATTTGCAAGAACTTCCAAAAGTGACCCCTTCCCTCTAAGTTAAACTCTTGCACTAGTTCAGCATATGACAGAAACGCCCAAATCTCCAATAGTATTTAATCCTTTCACTTGCCACTCTTTCCAGTAAACAGGTTTCTTCCCTATGCAGACCTTGGGATTATACCATAATGGGGAATATTTCTGCTGAGTATGTTTGAGGTTTAACAGTCTATGGACTTTGTTCCATACATCCTTTGAATGTAAAAGTATTGGATTAGTAATATTAGACCTTTGTGCTAATATTGCTGAAGGTTGAAAGGGTAAACATATCTTTTCCTCCACCTCCATCCACCCTGGTTTATATGTTGTTGTTTGCCAATACCTTGCTATTTTTGTCATCTCAAATGCTAGATAATACAATCTCAGGTCTGGCAAACCCAGCCCTCCTTTCTCCCCCATGTGCACATAATTTCCTTAATTTCAGTCTTGGTTTTTTCCCATTCCATACATTTTTTTAAATACATCATCTAATTGTCTAAAGATGGCAGATGGAATCAGAAGATACTTAAGGCAATCAGCTCTTTATTAGACTTGGTAAATGTAGCTTTGTAAAACCAGTTTTGTTTCCTGACCCTTGATTTATGCATCATTTTTGCTTTGGGCAGTGTCCAAACACACACAAGAACTTCACGTTCCTGCATGAGCTGCAGCAGCCAGTTATATCCTGGAAAACTCTTAAAAACAAGTTAAAAATTAAAAGCCGCAGAATGTTTTTGGGCATAGCTTTTTATGGGTGCAAAGAAATTTTCTTTTAAGTCAATTTTTAAATAGTTCATAGTTTCCATCTCAACTTCCTATTAATATAATATGGTGATCAAAGTTGCTTCATGTCTACAATTACAGCATTCCTCAGTTTCACTGATGGTTTTTAGAAATGAGGATGCTGTCTGCAGCCAACAAACCCACTAGAACACATTTTAGGTCACATTTTGCAGCCAAATATAAACGTTTACCTAGAGGGAGCCAAAGGGACTTATCCAGAGAAGAGAGCATGTCTGGAACAGAAGCACGAAAGCATCACAAAGCTGAAAGCATTCCATGTTAGTAATAAGACAATCCTGTGGTTTGGTTCATATTTTTGTGTTTTAAAGGACTTTTTTTTTTAATAAATTTAATTAGTATAGGTCTGGTTCTGTCAAAACATAAATCACAGCTTCATGAAAATAATAAGCTTTAACTGTATCTGAATCACAAAAAGTAAAAAATAAGTGGAAATGAAAAGTTTTAGTGAATGTTGAAAAATATGTGTACACAAAGAATAAGATTTAAAAAACAATCAATTTTCAGATTTTTAGGTAAAAACAAAATCCTGGAGTAAATTTATTTAATATAATTTCCACATTTAAAGTATTTATTGAAAGTATGTGTGTTTTGACAGTGATTGCAGAAACAGAGACATCTTTGTTTGACTGCAGCACCTGAACATTTGGGAACTTCTGAACACTTTACGATCCACGTGGTCTCTACTGAACCCTGAGGATGAACGCTGGAACTTCTTGTTCTGCAGCGCTTTGATTGTGAGTGAACTTCTCTCTCTCTCTCTCTCTCTCTCTCTCTCTCTCTCTCTCTCTCTCTCTCTGCCTACCAGGAGATCCAGGAATTTGAACCAGTGACCTTCTGGTCACAAGGTCACCTCTGGTCACTTTTGACTACTGTCCTCCACAAATGTTTATACTCTGTCCTCCTCGTTTTCTCTGTTAGTGTAATCTGCATGTATTATCTAAGTTTGCCATTTTCTACAGTCAAACTATTGTATTATTTTCCTTTACAGGGAATAACACCCTAAACTCTGTGGACACACACTGGTTTGAGCTCACACACACACACACACACACACACACACACACACACACACACACACACACACACACACACACACACACACACACACACACACACACACACACACACACACACACACACACACACACACACACACACTTCCTCTGTAGTGAGAGTGACATATTTATCTTCAGAGGAAAGGAGGAGTGAGAGTAGAGTGAGATACGTTGCCTAAAAACAGACTCGTCAGGTAGCCAGAGATAAATCTGTAAGTGAGTGTCCACGTTAACTTGCTGAGACAGCATGAATCAGGTGATGCACATCAGTATGAAACTCGTATCTCTGGATGGACAGTTTAACGAGTCTAATCTGTAATCAGTGTAGCTCACTCTGCTGTTGTCATGGAAACGCAAGCTTTTTATCAATCTTGTCAGACATGATAATCTCAATATCTGGCGAGAAGGAGGGACATTTTC